CATGGTTTTTTGCTTCTTTCTCCGGTGTCCTTGACTGAATTGTGCTCATTCTGGTATGGTTTGAAAGATCTCTTCACTCTGCACACGTGTGCGAAGAAAGTTGTCCTTGACCGTTAAAACTGATGACGTCACAAAGGGTAGAAAGGACCTGGATCCGCACGGGCGGTTCAGGGGCGAATGGGTTAAACAGTGGAAAATTAAACAGTGAAACATTGAATTTCTCATTGATGTATTGTACGGATAGGGTTTTACTAGTGGAGGCTGATGCTACATGTATTTGTCACAAATCTAACCTTGTGAAACAGCTTTACTTCTAAAAACAGTAAGAGGCATGCTCTGTTTTGGCTATGTTTTGTTACGTTACATTCTGTTTTATAATCTACATGTAGAAGTATCTATTAATTATTTTCACTTAAAATTTCTACAATGTGACTAAAATGTAGGGTTGTATAAAATAACGATTCATATTCCTTTCGATTTGATTCACTTTTGATTATTGCCTTTTGATTCTGATTATGGTTTGATTATGTAAAAATTTCTTAATTTTTATGACATACAGTGTAATGCATCATATAAACAACATGCAACCAAGGCTGTACTCTAAGGAAAATTGAAGGGCACCCAGTGCTCTGAACCTGTAAAATCCAGGGTGCCCAGCATATGATTTGTATGAAAAATCTGAGATTTTCTATTCGCCCAGGAACAAAAGTTGGGCACCAGGGGCCACCGGGCTCTGCTAGAGCACGGCCCTGGCAACCCTAAACCCTCAATTTGAGAATAGAAACAGGGATTCATAGTCGATTGGTTGTTCACTGCCATGTTTGAGAACCTGACAAAGAGTATGTCACAAATAGCCTGCTTCTTATTTAGAAGTTCTCAATGGGTGGTTGAAAGACAGCATTTTTACCAGGCAACACAAAATGGCGCATGAACTGCAATTGCCTTTGCTCAATCAAAAATGCACATTTTAAAGAGTTCTGGATTCTGATTTCACAATATAATAACGTACTGAGTGCACCCCGGAAAAGGTACATACATGTACATGTATGCAGCCTAGCCTGAATTTCATCCAATTACTTCGAGTTGTTATTACTCCCTCAGTAACATCTGAATCGACCGGTCGTTTAATGCCGCCCAGTGACGTCACTACTCCTTGACCTTTGCTTTAATTCATGCAAAAAGTAAAACACGATTTTCAAGTGGCAAACCGAGAAATATCATTTGGAAATGTCTGCATGATACAAAATTGCTTTATTTTTTTCGATTGTTATTCATGCTAACGTTCAAACCATCAACTGCATGCAGAACAACTCTGAACCAGTTGTACTGAATTCTATAATCAAACTCGGTCACAATCACGCAATGAAATAAACACACACACAGAACACTTAGTTCAAAAACACAATGATTTGCTTTAATTGAAAAGAAGCTATTTGGTCCTGAACAAAGAAAAAAACAAGGAAACAAGAAAGAAAAGCTAACAGAATTATTACACTTGACAATGAAAATAGCAAGAAGGTCGAATTATGACATTGATCTCAGAAAACTTCGCGTAGACAAAATCACTGGCTGCCGAAACTACAAAGCGGCTCTAAATGAAAAACCTACCGACTCTCCACAATGATTCTTCATTTGCAGTTCAATTTAGCATTCAGATTCGAAGACAAGGACAGTTTTGCTGTTTAAGATAAAGATTAAGCTTATCAAAATGTTTGAACTACACGAAAGAATGCCAGGGATGCGATCCACTGAATATCAAGCGACAATCCTGCTAAATGGTCCCAACTTGGAGGATTGGTCTGCAAAAATTGAACTAAAATCAAAACGAAAAGCAAAGAATCGTAAATCGAACTGAATCGTTATGATCACGATTACAGTAATCGACAATTCAATTAATTGTTACACCTCTACTAAAATGTTCACTGTACAGAAAAAACTGGTTTTTGCCCTTACTTCCGGCTATTTGCTTCGAGCTCCCGATAACTTGACCTACCAAAAACTCAAACTTTTTTCGATATCTTTTGAGGGTTTGAGTTATCAGGGGTCAACTGTACTTAAATCCTGGTACACAGCTGGGGCCCCAGAACAAGGACTTTGGCACTGTTTCACAGACAGACTTAACCAGAGTTTAGTTTCATTGTGATGCAGGCTACACTGTAGGTGTGTAACTGGTATCAGTTAGCCTTTTGGCAAGATCAATGGCACAAATTTACATACTCCCTATCTCACAATTCCAAGGGATGAGCTTACATCTTCTAATAACAGGTGAATTTTACTGCTAGTCTGCAGTCCTCATTCTGCTTTTTGCACCTAGGATGTATTTCCTCTCATTCAGCAGTTTTCACTTGACCCTCATTCTGCACAATACCCCTGGTCCGCAGTCAATCCTGCCCTTGCATTGACCAGTTTTTGAATGCCATTTGTTGCCTGTAATTGCTGAAGAGCAGTACAGTGTAACTAAAAGCCTATTTTTCAAGAGCCCAAAAGAGAAAGTTTAACA